TGGGCTCGTGAAAAATAGTAAAATTCTAGAAAAATCTTTCTGGTAGCAGAACGAGGGTAGTCAGTGGTGCATACGTTACGCATACGTGGGCTGAGTATGCCCATATGCCCGGAGAATGGCAAGACGGTATCTGCGCCTTCTACATGGGCGTGTGGCTCGTCGTTTAGGAACACAAGTTTGTTTTGAGTTGTTCTTGAGTTGTTCCGCACGACAGTTGTTGCTTCCGAAGGCAGCTGCCATACAAATGCAAGACTAACCGACTTTTTCCACACTTTAGACCTCAACCACCACCCCCCTCCCTCTCCAACATCTCCAATATCCATTATTTTATCCAAAATAGACACACGAGTCGCCCACATTCCAGCTCTGTGAACGTCCTTTTCTTCTCTTAATATTCTGGTAAGCGTCGTCCGTTCTGGCGCTCGCACCACAGAAATTCTATAGAGCCCATTCTCTTACAGTTCCCAAGGCTGACGCTCATCTCACGCAGGACTACGGCGCTCAGATTGTTTACCAATGAAGTTTTCTAAGCCTTTCACTTCATCCTCCTCCATGCCTGCGTTCTCTGCCCATACTGGCTCAGCTACGGCGTCTCAATCGTCCGCTCCGCCAAGTGCGCTTGATATAGTGCAGGGCCAAGGAGTTCACAGTTGGGACTCGTTCTTGTCCCCCATGGTAGAGGCATCCTCAACTCTCCCTCAAGACGACTCGGAACTTATGGACTCTCCGAGCTTCATCCTGGGAGGCAGTCCGGACTTTGAAACCACTTCCGCCTCCTCGACCACACTCGCAACAGCGACTGGTGTTGCTGAACCATTCTCTTGGGATATTTCTTCACTATCTTCCACTCACTTGAGACCGTCTGGGCCCACTGTCGGTGACGTTCACACCGCTACTGCCTCACTCCCCCATAACGGAACACAGCCCACAGCGCCCACGGCGTTTACTTCCACTTATCCTTTGTTACCCTTGGACTCTACCACATACTCTAATTACCCCTACGGTGAGTTTTCAACATTTTCAAATTTTAGAATAAAAAAAATTGGGCCATACTTGGCCGCATGTCCGACCATTACGCGCGTTTCTCAGGGCTGTGCTGACCTCATGTCAAGGCTCGTACCCACTATTGCCGGTCTTATCAGCCACTCCGTACGAACTAGCCTCTGTTTCTGGCCGCACTCAAGTTATTCCTGAAGAAGCTCCAGCTACTGTCAGCCCCGCAGCCGTGTCGCTCTCTCAAGTAGCCCCTCCGTCCCGTGTAGAAACCCGCCCAACAAAAATTTCAACCCCCACCATCACCACCCCTGCTCCCGTTATGAAGCAAGAAACTGTTCTGGCACAAACCCTGTACTCCCGCGAAGCCAGTATGGACATTGACGACGATGTTGAGGGAGAGTACGACGACGACGACGATCTTGAAGACGAAGACGCCGGAGACGAGTACAAAGAACGCTCTCGAGGAGGACGGAAAGATGCTAAAATCGGTCGCCCCGCTGCAATTTCTGCCCCGCGCAAGGCGGAGGCCTCTTCGATCGAAACCTCCACTGCCAAAAAAGGCAAAAATGCTGGCAAACAATCCTCTGGTTCCGAAAATGGTACTCCTGCTCCCACTAAGCGAAGAGGAGGAACCCGTATTTCGGTGGCTGACTTTGTTCCCCCGGATGTCACTGGTCTTAGCAAACGAGAGGCTCGCCTCGTCAAGAACCGCGCTGCAGCTTTCTTGAGTCGACAAAGGAAAAGGGAAGAATTTGAGCTGATGGAAGTGTGAGTATTTGTGGCACGGTGCCTATTTTTGGTGTTATGTTCCTGACATGTTTTGCAGTCGCCTTGCAGAAATTTTGGAGGAGAATGCTCGTCTCAAGGGTGAGGCCCCTGGAACACCCTCTGCATCTGCACCTGTCTCGGATGAAGTCCAGCGTCTGCAAGAGATGTTGCGAGATGCCCAAGAGAGGGAACAAGCCCTCAAGGCTCAGCTCGAAGAACAAACTCGTCTCGCCGAACAAAGCCGCCTTCAAGCCGCCATCAAGGCTGAAGAGCCTTCTATGACTGTTCAAGAGGCATTGAAGCTCGCGTCCCCCATGATCCAATCTCCACGAAGCGATATCTCCAGCCTCGATGGTTCTGTTTTTAGCTCTGCCCTCAAGGAAAAGGACTCGTCTCGCCACTCGGGTCCTGGCTTCAACCTTATGGTTCTTGTCTTCTCTCTCACCATGCTCTCCATGCCACACCAACACCAATTGCAATCCATGCGCGGTGCTGGAGCACAACCTACCAGAATCATGTACGAACCCTCAGGTTCGGCGACCTCCTCTGCATTCCCTTCGCTGTTCGAGAATGTCTTGGAACGTTGGGAAGGTGCAAACAAGATCGAATCTGTAGATGGCATTGAGCCTGTTGATGAGGACGATGAGATGGAAGTTGAAGTCGAGCCATGGGAACAGGACGAAGCACCCGCAGACCAAACCAAGTCTGGCAACTCTTACGTCGTCGATTTTGAAATGCCAGTATTGGCTGACCAAGTTGGCAAGGATGAAGATGGCAAAATTAAAGTTCGCATCTCGCCTGTCGGTGTCCCAAGACCTCGCAAGGCCAATGGTGGTCTTAAGCAAGGTGAATTGGCCTGGGGTGGCTCTCCGTTACCTCCTCTCGAGACGAGCACATCTACCTTTGCCTCTGATTGGGAAACTTGGGGTGGATGGAAGGAGTTTTTGAGCGACGATGTTGTTGCTACAACCTACCCATCCCTGGTTTCCGATGTGCCCTCTATCTCCATCGAGGAAGCACTGTCGCCTAGCTCTGAGATGGAACAGTCGGTCGTAGTTGATGACAACAGCTCTGAGCGATGGGCAACTCCTCCACCATTCCCAACAGAAGGTGAAGAGACACCCTCTGACGCGACTCTCGCTACCGTCCTCAGTGGAGAACAGCAGCCACAAGGCCCCGTAGACGTTGACGTTTCCCTGTCGACCCTACCAGCTTGGTCAAGAGCATTGGTGCAAGCTGCCGCTGGTGAAAAGCTAAAGGCTCGCATCCGTGTTTCGAAGAAATCGAGGATGGGCCGAAGCAAGAACACTCTTTCCCTTGGCAAGAAGAAGATGGGCCTCGTTGTCAAGGTTTAAATTTCTGCAAATATTGGTTCGAGTTGGTCTAGAAGATTGAAGGACTTAGAAACAGTTTCTCGAAAACTCACCACTCCCGGACTGGCTCCAAAAAGCTCTTTACTTCTCTATCGTGGATTAGGTCGACACACTCACCGACCCTACACCCTATGCTTACCTTATGCACTAGAAACAAAGAAAACCCCGACATTCGTTTAAGGTTATTATGGTGCGCTGGTCCTTGTGACTGTCGCGCACATGAAAAGTACTCCTACTACCCCCCATGCAAACGGTCTCCCCTATATCACGAAACGTTACATTACGCCTCCTCTTAAAGTCTCGTGTTGATGTCCGGATACCTTGTTTTATCACTCTTCGCTGCCCTTTGTTCCTCCCCATACCTCCTTATCCACCATCCCCGACATCTTTTCCCCCCTCGCGTCTTCTTTGGTATTCCGTTTCCGGTTGTTCTCGTTTCCTTTTTGATTCTTATGGCAATGACTAGTGTTGCTCATTGTCCATTGTACGTAACTATTTGTGTTGCAATGATACTCCAAAAACACAATACACTGTGCGAACACTAAGTTTAATAACCAAATTCTTGTGTAAAAGTGTGACCATCAAGGTCGTCGAATTAGATCGCAGAGCATAAGATACTGATCGAAATTATAATTTACAGAGTCGAGACGAATCACTGGTTCAACCTCCTTTGATCAATCGTTCTCCGGTTTCGTCGTCATACATCTCTTCCTCGTCGTGCACTTGTTCATGCTCGTGTTCATGCACGTGCTCGTGCTCTTGCTCTTGTTCATGGGCCTGCTTTTTCTTCTCCGATGGATCATCACCACAACCACAGTCGTAGGTATCATCCAGTTTTGTGCAATCGAATTCTTCCTTTTTTAGTCTCTTGTTAACCAGATTGTGGACATAGCATAGCCATTGAGAGGCAGCCTTTCTCGAGGAGGTCTATATGCACAGCAAATGGTGAGATTAGAGGGCGCGGGCTCAATGTATATAGTACAATAATGGGTGTGTGAGAGAGATATGAAACGAACCTGAGGTGGATGGTCTCGAAGTAGCATTTGAAATTCTGCGGCGCACTCTCCACAAGGATATAATCGAGATGTAAGATGGAAGTACGACTTGAGAGCTAGTCTCTCGTCTTCTGTAGGATTCTAAAGGCCCATGATTGTTAATTTTACGCAATTATGAGAATAGAGTTTGCCCTTACTTCCGGGAAGCGCAAAGTCATAGTGTGCCTATCAAGAGATTGCGCATAATGAGATCTAATTGTAGTGTCTTGAATAAAATATAGACCTACAAGAGTTTCCATGTCGCTCTACCCAATGCAGCCCTTTTCGAATCGCGTTAATTATCACCACGTATAATGACAGGAGGGCATCCCGGGAGAATAACTCACTTTGCTGTCTCGTTACCAAGCTTTCCCATTATGACACTCCCAGAAACATGGTGTACCTCCTCACTATCGAGCTTTGGGGGAGCCCCATCGTTATTGTAGTAATGGTTGTGCGTGGGATCCAGGTATACCCGCATAGGTGGATTTAGAAAGAAAATAGTACCAATGAAAAGCAGGGCGATGCATGAGAGTATGAAAGATCGAGTAAATCTTGATAGCATGGGGGCGGTTGTCCTTTGGGTCGGAGTGGCAGGGTCTAAAATGTGGTTCTGGCTGCCTGGTCCCTCCCCTCTGGCTCTCTCACTCGCTCTGGACCAGTATGTGCACACTCTTTGAAGGGGTCTAGATCGTAAAATTACACGTGTAATCACAAGTGAACATTGATACAGAAACAACTATGCAGGTGAATGGAATATCTAGTGAATCATGAAAATAACCCCCAAGAAATTGTAATCGTCGAGAATGTAAAACCTCCTTTGGGATGAATATAGTTTAAAGAATATAATGAGTTAAAAGTGTTTAGGTACGAGGTTTGTCCTCGCTTTCCATAGCAGAAGTCAGGCCAGCCCAGAGGAGAGCGGCTTCTCCAAGACTCAGTCTTGAACCTCTAGAGCCTTTATTTGAAGATTCTGGTTGTTGTTGCTCCTTTCTCCCTTCATCTTTTCCTTGACCAAGGGGAGTCTCCTTGGTCTGAGCATCTTCCCCAATCCACCCAAGCTCGGGCGAGACACTCCTGATAGAATCGAGATCCCCATGAACAATACGGCTGGCAGTACTCGTGTTCCTCATGAGCCCAGGACCTGCAACAACACCGTTGCCCATAGATGAGCCAGTCAACATGCCCCGGCTCGAGGGTGAATCTAACGGATGAAGGTTGATAAAATTGCCACTGATGGCCGAAGCCGGGACTCCAGACACGACTCTTGACTTTGGCCGAGTACTTGAGGACGCCAAGACGCTCGTGTTGAGGATGCTGGGGTTGACCGCGCGTCCGACGCTGGTCCGTAGCATGACACGACTGGGCTTCACGATTCGATAGGACGGATCCAATGTGAACGATCGGCCAAGACCTTGGCCAGGAACAGAGTCGGAAAGGAGGGAGGGCGTCAAGAGTCTACTACTCCGAGCATCGGCTTCACCTTGCTTTTGCCCGTGCTGGACAAATTCTCCAACAACAGTAGGCGTGGTATCTTTAGAAGATTCTCCCCTAGCAGCTAATATTATCGTCTCTGATTCAAACCCAGGAGCGCCGGCGGCAGGTGAGGTATTCTTCGACATTGAACTAGAGGATACCATCGGGGATGGGGAAGGTGTTTGAGCCCACCCAGGGCGCTCCGCTCCCGGAAAGACGAGCACGTTTTCGGGGGATGGTCCATCTCCTTCAACAGGTCCATATGCGTGGGAGAGCGCGGAGGTTGCGGCGGATGATGGCCGCTCACTGGGATGCACAGACGCGCGAGGGGATGCGAATGGTAAATGAGTTTGATGTGGTGTCGTGAGAGTGGTGGTGGTGGTGGTATTAGTGTCACCGGTAATGGTGACGTGAGTGTTATGGTGGCCAGTCTCATGAGGTAGTGGAGGTACGTCTGGGAGGTCAGGGCTAAGCGAACGAACCGACCACTCTGAAGGGAGAACGTGGCTACTCGCGGCCGCACTTCTGGGCGTCTTGGGTGGATACAAGGAGCTTTGGCTCAGCGAGCGCCGAACGGAGGGACCAGCATGATTGCTTGGGAAGGGGTCCGAGTTGAGCCAAGCGGGTAATTCGTATTTAGTCGCATTGAACGGGTCGTGGAATCCCTCTTCGGTAATTGGGGATTGAAGTGGGCGCGCGCTGCTTTCGGAGATTCGACCAACTGCCGGGTGGGCGGGAGCGTCGATTGAATGCGGGCGCACGGTGCTGCTTTCAGAAAACCGACCTCCTCCTTCTTCTGATTGCCCTTTACGAGCTCCCGAGGCGGTGGGGTAATCGGCGGGATCGACTATGGTCTGTTGGAGAGACTCGCGCGGAGATAAATGTGGACTATTGTTTATCGTTCCGGTATCGGATGTATAAGGGTATGGCGATTGCGGAACCTCTGATGTAGTGTATGCTGGAGAAGATGAAGACGAAGGATTGAGGGGTGGGAGGCCTAGAGCGGCCGCTTTAGCAGAAGGAGCGAGAGTAGGCTGTGTATTATTATCGTCCATTCGAGAAAGTGATTCATAGGAAGGTGGAGGGTGCGGAGGAATGGGGAGCGCCCTTCTTGTTGTTTTGGTAACAGAGTTACCGTCAGTGGGCTGTAAGAGACCCATGGTGGAGCTCGATATATGGCTGCCCGTGTCCAACATGGATGTTCGAGACTCGGCGGTAGAGTATGGCCGTGACGATGGACCACTCTGCGAGCCAAGGTCGGTATAGGGTAAGAACGAATTGAAGGGGGAGACGGAACGGGAGGTGGAGATTGTCTTGTTATAATTTAGAGAAGATGTTTCTGTTGCTGATTGACCTGATGGATAGGGTACATTCTGTGAGGGTGTTTGGAGGGATCGAGAGGAAGACGTAGATCGTGATGGGGGGTCTTGGAGGGGGTGTCGATGCCTCACGCCTAATTGGAGCGGCGTGGGTGGCCGTTTGGACGCCTGACCAATCGACACTGTTGAAGACAATCGTTTCCGCGAAGGGTGAGTCGGTTTCCGGTTCTTTACTCTGCAGATGACGAAACCGACGACGAGGAGACATACGACGGCGATTCCCGCACAGAGACCGGCCACGCCCTCTTTCGACGACAGAAAGCTATCGATAGGTCAGTCATAAGTGCATGTAAATGTATAGTTTGCGTACCCATTAGATTGGCGCGACCGACTCGAACTCGAGGTACTAGATGGACCCCAGCTCGTATACACTGGTACACCAGCTCGAGTGTCCCATGAGCTAGTAAAAGGCACGATTAACATCGACACGTCTATGATTCCAAGAGACATGTCCTCACCTGGTCGAGAGACGTGACGTGAGAGAACTACTAGGTGTGGTTCCAGTGCCGGTGCTACTCGGTGACGCAGATGCCTGTGGTGCTCTCGGAACTAGAGGCATCGCAAGCAGCTATCTATCCCTGCCAGGCCTATCCTTCTCCAGCAGCGATGAGGTTGTGGTGGTGGTGGAGGAGGAATGTGCGTCGCTAGAAATGTGGACAAACAAGCGGGAGTGTGAGATAATTAGCGTCGAGCGTGTTCATTTCTGCGGATTTTTGCATGGGAGTTTTCAGGGACCAGGCGGCGAGAGAGGACCGTGAGACGACAAATGAACAGCCTGCTCTTCACAGCTTGGGCTCGCGTTCAGACGTCAGAAATGGCATTGATATCCTTGAAAATCGCTTCAAATTTGGATAGTGGGCTGTTCGCCGTTGACGCGGACGATGAAGCAAGTGTCCAACCTAGCGCGCCCATCGACGAGAGGGCTCTCATCGTATTTGGTAGTTATTCTAAAGTGGAATTGCAATCGATAATGAACCCTTTCGTGGGATATACAGATATGGAAGACATTAAAACCACCAGTCGTGACTACAAATGCACTCACCAGTCTCTGGTTATGTGACCGTCTATTAATGGATACTTGGTACACGCAATCATCATCTCACCGCTGCGTGTCTTGCTGTATCGATATGAATCTCGTGAGCTCACGCTCGTCTCTATACTCGAAATACGATCCCCATCGCCATCCATGCCGACTAGAACTCTTCATTTGAGACCCTTGAGATAGCAGGTCTCTGAGAACTCGAATATGGACTATAGCGGTGCGCAGAGCCCACGGCCTTGCCAGACGAATAGCCACAGCCAGTTGCGTACACACACTCACAGGTTGGACCCCTACGCTGGGCATCGTCACCTCGACTCTTCCAACAAAATCATCCATCAAAACGCGCATGAGCGACTATTTAAATTAACAAGATTACCCCGAATATCTCTATATTATAGATTGTACAAGACGACCTGCCAGCTCACCCTTTCGAACACCAATTAAACTCACACAGAGGGAGGTGGGCCAAATCGTGAACCGTCCACCACTCCAAACTAGATAATGTACACGGACAAAAAACGAGGATCAATATCGCAAGACGACCCTGCTCCTCGTAATCGCTACCAACAACGACCAGAAGGCATTTCGACCTCTTCTAGACCTCGCAGAGTATACGTACGACCAGCAATGGCTTATGCTAACGGAAACGGCCATACTAGCAACCCTTACCAACGATCTCCCTCCCCGCCTGCTACGGCCTATTTCTCAGGCTTCCAGACAGAGTCGGAGGCCCTCCGACCCGATTTGCAGCGCGAACCAATCGCACATACTGATGCACAAGCACACTTTGCATACTCTACTACCCTAAGACGGCATCAAGTCGACTCTTCAGGCCATGCCGTCACCCCTATACGTCCCGAATTTTTCACGGCTAGCGTCACGACTTTGTGGGGCCGAATACAACGTGCATGGGACATTTGGAGAAGAGATGGGAAAGATGCATTGATAGAGAGTGGATGGGGTGGACAAATTCCGACAGAGGAACCTGAGCCTCCAAAGGAAGGCAAGTCGGGACAATTCTCATCTTGGTCTGTAGAGGTATATAC